TTGCTGACGCACATCGGATATCCCTCAGGCGAATCAATGACTGGTTCATCTACTCTTGGCATCGTTGAAGGCAGAAATCACGTCTGTTAATCTGGTCCCCTGTCAGATTTGTGCCTTCGGAACGAGATTCAGGAGGGTATTTTTCGTTCCATCGCTATTTGTGTGACCATCAGTTTATTCTCTTCGGTTGACGTTCAAGCGCATTAGGGTTCATTTAAGCAAATTTGACTGATTGACTGATGGTTTATGTTACTTCACCCAGTATCTGGGTATTCCTTCATTTCTACCCACAAGTAATCATCTCTCGTTCATATAGTAGGTCGGATGAACAAATGATTTCCTCGTGCTTTTCTTGAGCAACAGTGACTTAGTGATGCTTATGGAACCGTGTTTAATGACGTCATACACTGTAAAACGGTGAATACGATAAAATCTTACATTAAACCGTAAAAATGTTAAATTATATGACACACGAAATCGAACAGGCAGGATCGTCCATTAAAGCAAACAGTGCATTAAACATGATGTTAAACGACCCAGAGAAACAGTTATGAACCCCCTTCTGTCAAGTGGAGATCTAGCAGTCGTTGAATCAAAAATTCTGTTTTTTCGTGCTATAAGAATCGGTGCCGTTCTACGAAACCTCAACGTCTTCTCTATACGGAAGTAGAGTTCCCTAATTTTCGTTCTTTCCATGGATTCCAAAAAGAACGAATCGTCTCTACCTAGGATGTCCCGCTGTGGCTGCGGATTTTATGGTTCACAAGATGCCGACGGTTTGTGCTCGCAGTGTTTTAAGGACTCTTTACAGCGGGAGAAGCAAAATGGTCGCCTTGCTCCTGGTTCAAGCAGATCCCGACGTCAAGAGGATCAGTCGGCGGAAGGCTTCGCTGGCAATAAACGAGATATCAACCAAAAACGAAATGGTAGTACTAGGTCGGAACTGCGTGAAAATCAGGCAAGCGCCATTGTATTTGAACCAGGTCTGAAAGTAGACGATCATAATGTAAACCATTCTCTTTTACGGCTATCCTCAGAGGGAGAAACTGAACCCAGCCGAAAGACCGAAAAATTCTCCTTGAAGAGCAAGTCGAGTCGATGCGAGACATGCGAAAAACGACTGGGTCTTACGGGATTTGAATGCCGTTGTGGGAGCATGTTTTGCGCTGTGCATCGATATTCTGACATGCACGAGTGCACGTTTGATTACAAAGCGCTTGGCGCTGAAGAAATTCGCAGGAACAACCCCGTGATTCAGAATGAAAAGATTCAGAAGCTGTGACATTCGTTCAGCTTTTCGTTTTCGTCTGGGCGACGAAGACGAAAAAACGAATCACCCACATACCCCTACTAATTATCCGGCCAAGACCGTAATGGTACAACACGAACTTAACATTCAGCACAGCCCTGGCTTAAAGTACAATATGTTAAAGCAGAGTACAGTGTTTTGTGACATCTTCCGTTGATGTGTCGTCGTGCTTAGTAATTCTGTTCGTAAAGCCGCTCACTTGTTTCGATTTCTGCATAACAAAAAGATTTT